GGTAGGCGACATCGCAAAATGGAAATAGATGATGTCGTTGAAATGAGGTCCTCAGTGGTGTTGAAGTGCTGTTGTCAGGGATATCGGGGACGAGTCGTATTTCGTGGGAAGCGGGTGGACAATTCACGCGCGAGACAGTTCTGTGTAAGTAACGCTGAACAAAACCAAACACCGAACACGCCATCTTTCACCTTAGATTGGGGGGACTCTGTCTTCAAGTTCAAGAAAGTGAGTAGGAGGGAGCCTGAACTAGTGGGCTCCAAGTGCGTTGAGGCGGTGCCACTAGAAACCCGGTCACGTCATGCCCCGTCAATGCTCTTGCCTGCCCGCTTTGTAGGCACACCTCAAAGCCCTCGTCGAGTGGAAAGAGCAGTGACTCAGGTGAGACCGCACGTGTTCTAGCACGCTTCTCTGCGCCCACCACCTCCACCACCACGGGCCAAACATCCACATCACAGCCCTTGAGCACCTGGTGGGGCGGTCTCATGACCACTGTTTCAACTCCTGCCCGTTTGGTTATTCCACTAACTGGGCAGGTTCGAGCCCCCTTACGCTTGCTACGTTGCCACTCAATTACCACCACGACTTTAACACTGGACAATACCGGTGTCGTTGTGGTCAGCTTAAACAAGATCAACCCCAATCAAAGCAGGTAGTCGCTGTGTTTAAGCCCTGGGCAGCCTTCACAAACAAACCCTCACTACCACTTCTCAAATCGCCTGCGCAGCCAATCGATAGTATTCACCTAGTGACCACCAAACGTAGGTGATATTGACTGGCGTCAATTAGTCAGTGGTTGCGCCACGCCAGAGGAGAGGATACCAGCAGAGCGGGCCACTCCGTGCAGGTTTCAGTACTGGGCGTATCGATTGCACTTATGAGATGCAACTGAGGTGTTGAGGCGACATCACGGTGTTGGCAGTGTCCACCACCCAATCAACAGTCGTCGTCTGTAAACGTGACACCTGCAGTGCGCAAACGGCCTCGGCCTCTGACCAATCAGCGAGAACCCCATGACGCATTCACTGCCCTAGGACACGTTGAAACCAAAACAATTGGTCCAATCAACATGCTTGTGAGTCATACCTCTTAATTGAGCAACAAGAAGAGACCAGACTGAATTCGCCTACCAACTGACCTAGTATCCAGTCTTCGCAATGTAATGGTAGTAGTGGTTATCGTCGACACACTGTCTCAACTGGTAAGGACACATACACGCCTTTTCCACTGGCTCAGTTCCCAATCTCTCTCGGGAGAACATATTTGAGTTTTTGCCACAACGTAAATAATTCCTCTAGCCTGACCAGTAAACCCGTCACCCTTCACTCGCTGATTTTCATTGCAACAAAGCACTTTTAAC